CCTACCCTGGCCTCACAGAGTGCTAGAATGACAGGTATAAGGCAATAGGCCTGGCCTATTATTTTTTTAATTATTGAACAAGAGGTGTTGGCAAAGATGTTGAGAAACTGGAATCCTGAGCTCTACTGGTGGGAATGTAAAATGGTGCAATTGCTGTGGCAAGAGTATGGTAGTTCATAAAAAAACTACCACATGATTTAGCAATTCCACTTCTGGGTATTTACCCAAAAGGTATTTGTATCCCCATGTTCATAGCAGCATCGTTCACAATAGTCAAAAAGGGTGGAAATACCCCAATGTCATCGATGGAAGAATGGATAAACAGAATGTGATCCATCCGTGCTATGACATCCTACTCAGCTATGAAGAGGAACAAAGTACTCAGACATGCTACAAAGTGGCTGAATCTTGAAAATAATACATTGGGTGAACTAAGCCAGTTCATATAGAAGGACAAATACTATATGATTCCACCCACAAAAGATCCCTATATTAAATTCACAGAGACAGAAAATAGAGTGGTGGGTGCCAAGGGCTGGGGATAGAGAGATGAAGGGTTGGGAGTTAGTCTTTCATGGGGAGAGAGTTTCAGTTTGGAAAGATGAGATGTTTCTGGAGAGGAATGGTGATAATGCCTGCACAATAATGTGAATCTACCTCCAAGTAGATGGGACTACAGGCACCCAACACAACACCCAGCTATTTTTGTTGTTGTTGTTGCTATCATTGTTGGTTAGCAGGCCCAGGCCAGGTTTGAACCTGCCAGCCCTGGTGTATGTGGCCGGCACCCTAACCACTGAGCTATGGGTGCCAAGCAACAATAATAATTTTTTTTTTTTTGAAACAGAGCCTCAAGCTGTCCTCCTGGGTAGAGTGCTATGGCATCACAGCTCACAGCAACCTCCAACTCCTGGGCTCAAGCAAGTCTCCTCTGCCTCAGCCTCCTGAGTAGCTGGGACCACAGGCACCCACCAAAACGCCTGGCAATTTTTTGGTTGCAGCTGTCATTGTTGTTTGGCAGGCCCAGGCTGGATTTGAACCTGCCACCTTGGGTGTACGTGGCTGGCGCCTTAGCCACTTAAGCCACAGGGGCCAAGCCAATAATAATAATTTTGGTAAATCAAAGCTATAAATTTTGCTCTTCCAAAGCAATCTTAGAAGCCAGATATGGTAGCTGGCATCTGTCAGATCAGTAACTGGGGATGCCAAGGCAGGTGGATCCTGGATGACAGAGCAAGACCCTGTGTCTAAAAGTTAAAATGAGACCAAGTGTGGTGGCTCATGCCTGTAATCCTAGCACTCTGGGAGGCAGAGGTGGGTGGATTTCCCTGAGCTCACAGGTTCGAGACCAACCTGAGCAAGAGCGAGACCCCCATCTTTAAAAATAGCTGGACGCTGTGGGAGGAACCCATAATCCCAGCTACTCGGGAAGCTGAGGCAAGAGAATCGCTTGAGCCCAAGAGTTTGAGGTTGTTGAGAGCTATGATGCCATGGTACTTTACCCAGGGGTGACAAAGCAAAATTCTGTATAGATAAATAAATACATAAATAAAATGAAATAAATAGAAGCAATCTTAAGTAACTGAAGAGGCAAAACAAAGCTGGGAGAAATCATTAGGAATGCAGTTAGCTGGCAAAGCACTTGTATCCAAAATGTACAAAGAGGCCAGGTGCAATGGCACATGCCTGTAATCCTAGCACTCTGAGAGGCTCAGGCAGGAGGATTGCTTGAGGTCAGAAGTTTGAGACCATCCTGAGTAAGAGGGAGACCCTGTCTTTACTAAAAAAGGAAAATTAGCAGGGCACTGTGGCAGGTGCCTATAGTTCCAGCTACTCAAGGGGAGTATGGCTTGGAGGATGGCTCAACCCCAGGAGTTTGAGGTTGCTGTGGGTTGGTGTGACACCACTGCATTCTAGCCTGGGTGACAGAATAAGATTTTGTCTCTAGAACAAAAAACAACCACAAAACAAAGTGTAAAAAAATTCTTAGAATAGTAAGAGGGTAAATAATGAAGAAAACTTCAACTTAAAAATGAAGAAAAGGTTTGAACAGATACTTCATAAAAGAAGAGATATGAATGGGTGGAAAACATGTAAAACATCATCATCAGTCACTAGAGAAATGCAGACCCAGACCCCACGGGACAGCACCTCACACCCTTCACAATGGCCAAAATTAAAAAAACCAAAACTGATCATGTGAAGTTCTGAAGACGATATGGAGCAGTTGAAATCCTTCCAAGGAGGCT